CTTGACTCTGAAAGGTACTGAAGGCATTAAATATCCTTCCACAGCACACCAAAATCTATGGCTTCTTTTCTCTGGCTTTGTTGTACTACGTATGTGGCCGGCCTCTTGCCACATACATTAAACTCCACTGGGAGATCTCCTTCCTGGCCATTGTATTCAAACATGGCAACTTCAACAAACTGCAACCCAAACCTATGTATTTTTAATAGATTAACTATAAGTTTAAGATGGTGCATCAGTTTCTTTGGATGATGCAATTACACAATATTATATGCATATTTATTATTACAGCATCCTCTTTTTTTCTATTAAAAGCCTAAATAAATTACTGAAATTACTAAATTATTAAATTTTTTCCATCTAGCTGAGTTGCTACAGTGAACCATGAGAATACAGTTATCAGCATACCATTACATACAGCACATAAAACAGAGTGGATTTACTAAAAACAAAGGAAAAAGTCTATTTTTGGACATAAGATGTCCCTGCAGTAACCACTGTATCTCAAATTTAAATAAATGACTACAGAGCTGGAGGCAGCAGTATATAGCACAGATCCCACTGGGGCTATAACTCACACTTAACACACTGTGTCATGATATAGAACAGTAGCAATAAACAGAAAATAAAAATGAAAGAGGTTAATGCTGTTACTGTAGGTGCCTATAAGAGTGTACATGTCATATCATCACCAGCACTGCTGTGTTACAGTGGATTCAAACAGGGTCAGCACTTTATGCTAATATGTGTTCAACCTTCTTTTAGGTACTCTTGGACAAACAAAGAATGAACGCCCCACTGTCCATGGAACGAAAATAGACTGCTAATGTTTATATCAGACTTTTAAATCTTAAGCTGACAAAAACCCATAGTGCATGTTGAGACGCTCAGAGGACAAAGTTGGCTTTGCATGTGCAGCACGCTGCTACCTATGGTGTTTTTTTGTTTGTTTTTTGCACAACAGCTTTTTTGCACCTGCTGCTATGACAGCGAACCGCCTCACCTCTTTAATACGCACAAACCCCATGTGCTGTATTTGACTATTTTGGCTGATGCGGGGTTGAAGTGATGCAGCTCCAGCCCTTAATCACTATAATCAATATGAAATTCTTTCTACTGTTAGGCGACGTAAAAATGGAAATTAACCAAGTTAAACTGCCCCTTTTACTTAACCACTGTGACACTGTGAAATATGTTTTTAATGAGTCTGTGAAGGAGTCACATGATATTTCAAATCGTTACAGCTCAGCAGGCTGTTTTAGGACCCTGCTGAGCCATAATGATTTGAATCTGTCTCTTGCACACACACGGTCGTGTTTCCATTACTTCAGAGGACTTTACATTGACTCGCATTCAGTTCCTGGAGACAAAGGCCTGTTTACTGCTTGCATTGACCTAATCTTACTCTACCCTTATACAAGGTCTTACAGTACTAACACTGATCGATTGATTTTGTTGGGGCTTGTTGATGTCAGATCAACAATGTTACTGCGTAAACAGGCGCATGTCCCCACAAAATGAGTAACACAAATACACATTCTGTCTCTCTTACGCACACCCTCCACCCCCACAAAATGATTGCTTCTTTACTTTTTACACCCACAGTCACTAATCTGGGAAATGCTTCCCTCGGCAATCAAGCTACAGGGAAAAGAGTTGCAAAAAAGTTTTGCGCCTTGCATAAATTAAAATCTGTGCATGGAGTACAAGATATCTTAAGGAGATTGCAGAATGAGGAGAATCAGTTTTTGTATGTGCCGTTGTCTCAGCAAACCTTGAGGAAATATAACATATGGTGCAAAACTCTCATTTCAGGGGAATGGGGAGTGCAGAAGTACAGTCTATGAGGCAAAACAGCATTTGTACAAATCCAACACACTTGAACCTTGATTTAACATGACTATCTTTACTCTTCAACACAGTCTGAACACTCTTAGGTAAGGTTTCTTGTAATTTCTCTTTGGAATCAATGTCATGCTGAAATATGAAACTGCTGCCACTCAGATCCTTTACAGATGATATTGAATATTAGATCAAAATGTGATGGTTCTTTTAACCACTGGTGGAAATGCAGTCCCAAACAATGACAGCACCTCCACCATGTTGTACAGGTGGCTGTAGACACTCACTGTTGGATCTCTCACTTGACTGCTTCAGACATATTGATAACAATTTCATATTTGGATTCCTCACCCCATCAGACCTGGATTTCCAGTCCAGTTCTTGTATTATTGGCATACCTCATACCTTTCTCCCTGTTTCCCTTCCTAAAGAATGGTTTTTGGATAGTTACCATTCCACTGAGAGCATTTCTGGAAAAGCTTCATTGAATAGTAGATGGATCAGCTGTAGGGCCATGTTTCTCTCAGTCTTTGCTGGATTTCCCATCATGTTTCTTAAAGACACAACTTTCAAATAATGTTCATCTGCCTTAAATAGTTTCTTTAGGCCTGCCACTTCTTTGGCCCTCCACTTGTCTAATTCCCTAAACATTTTGAAAGGACACACCGCACATCGTGTTGAGATATGCCAACATAGTCAGGTACAACGAATGTTCTGAAAATTAGTGAAAAAGCAACTCAAGAATAAATAAATAAATTGAGAGACCTTGAGACAGGCGGCACAACTATTGCTCAAGAAAACTTTATAGAATTACAATAAAGTCTGTTTCATCAAAGGCAAATATAAATAAATGAGGGGTGACTTGTACACTCCTGTAATAGTCCTGGTTCTCTTTACTTTCATGTTTTAATGATCAGTGTTTATTGCAACATATATATCTAATCTCAGAAATCCTTACCTGCTGGGGACTCATTGTGGTTTTCCTCATCAGAGTCAGCGAAGACTTCAGCCAGCTCCTGGTCAGACATATCGGTAAGTTCAGTGAGATCCAAGAGGTCAAAGTGCACCTCTAAAGAAGAGACACTGCTCAACGGTTCTATGAAGCAGAGAAATAAAAGAGTCCTTTTAGTCTGGAGAGAAAATGGGAGATTAAAATCACTCATTTTTGCTCACAGTGCAGAAAAAAGTGTCTCTTTCAAAGAAGTAGGAGATAAACTGCATATATTTCAACAGCTCAAGTAAGGAGCTCTTGAATCTATTGCACTGATAATCAGATCGATACCTGGCTCTTGCAGTGCTATTGTAAAATCGATTTCTTTTCTGCTCCTGCATCCACTTTAATCTGTACAACTTGTACAGTGCTCTCTATTACAGAAGCATTTCACATACTGTACATTTCCTTAAATCTGTGTCTGATTTTGATGCTTCATTCAGTGAATTCCTCTCTCACCATGACGCCCCTTGTGTTGACTCAGGAGCTTACTGAAGAAATGAAACAAGAGCTCTGTAGAGATGAAAATAGCCAGATCTTCATTTTTTTTCTCTTGGGTGTGTTGCACCTGTTCTTTTCTCCACAAGCTTGTGATTCTTCAGCAGGCCATTTCGTCCGCTGCTGCACAGAACCGGGTGGTATTAATGTACACGGGGTGTGCACCCAAACGCCTGACTCAGCTTTCCAGTCAAAGTGCCTCCAAAGGTGAGATTTTAATGTAATGTATGCAAAGTCAGATTTATTCAGAGATCTAAATAATCTTTGCATAAAGTGCACCAAGAGAACATCTGCTTGTCTCAGCATTACCCAAGTTAGGAAACAATTAGATGTAATTGAGCAGGACTAATCTAACAGTATAGTGAGAAAGAGGTCTCTGGTGAGGCAGACTGACGTGTGCTTGCATTTCCTTATCAATCAGTGGGTGCTAGCCTTACATGCAAAGTCCTGACTAAAGCACATCATTGGCTGGTTGTAGCGTGACTTGTAAAAAAACGATGGGCTCCACGACAGGTTGTTATTATCCCGTGCTGTTTGCGTGCTATTTTCCAGGCAGTTTAAGGCACTGTCTCAGGCTGTAGCAGCTGAAGAAGCAGAGCCCACTCTCCTCCTGCTGCTCCTTGTCTGCTGCTATATTTCATTTAATTCATCATGGTCCTGATAGAGCACATATTGATTTTTAAAAGACTATTTATTATGCCAGGGAAGTAGCTGTGTCATTTTTAAGATATAAGAGAAACACTCAGCAGAAATCCCAAGAGGAATGAAACAGGAAGCTGTGACAAAGAGAATATAAATATAAGTAACTGAATATAGTAGACATTTGAAATATATTAAGGATTCAGCTAGCCAGCTTCCATTATCACTCCATTAACCACCACAGTACATATAATTAAAACAGCCACAGAAAGACTCAGCAGACAGCTCCCAGAACTTCACATCCAAAGCTTGAAGGTCTCTATTTCTGCTGTCTGGGATTGGTTTTAAATAAGCACTAAAACATACAATAACTGTTTAAAAAAATCATAAAAGTTCTTTTTTTCATGTCTTTAGGTTGATTCTTGTGCATGTTTCTGAATATATATTATGTTTTCTGCAGGCAGAAAGGTGCTTGCTACAGTTATCAGTATTTTTAACTGCATTTTGGGAGGTAAAAAACTAAGGCAGTGAAACATGAAGAAAACTGTGGGGGAGGAGATGAAGAAAGATGAGGGAGAGGCAGAGCGATGGGAGAAGAGGGAGCGTTAGGTAAGGAGCTAAATCTAAAATAATAAAACGGGTATGGCGAAGAAAGAGACAAGAGGGGGAAATGAGGCATTATGTGAAACAACACAATACCTCCTTATAAGTTCTGTCATTATTTTCAGCTGATAAGGGTTATTCCCTTTCTATTGCGCTTGCTTTTAACCGCCTCTCCCCCATCTCTTCTTTTTCCCTTTTCCACACCCTTTCTCCTTGAATAATTGATCAGTCGGTTTCCAGTCCCAGACAGACACGCTGAAACAACTGCCTCCAGTTCAAAAGCCAATCAGTGGCACTCTGAGAAGTCAGTGGGGAGAGGGGGAGGACAAAAAGCAAAGACTCCTGTGCATACAGCAGATGTAAGAGACGACCATTTCTTGGCCGGTGGCCCGCACATTCACATTCATTCATTTTGTCTCCTTCTTCACTAATACTATATTTTTTCATCACATGCTTGCAGTCCATGTGTGCAAAACAAAAGTCCCCTGATTTCAATAGAACCTCGCATTTAAAAGTCTCATTTACTTCAAGACAACATGACTATTCAGTATTCTCATTTTTCCTTTTTCTTTCCTCTCTTTACAAGTATAAATGTACAGATAGGTTCAAATGGAAGAGCAAAAATAGGGAGAATGGATAAGAGGGAGGGTTTCACATTTGGGAGAAGGGATCAGAGAGTGGAATGGATGCGCCGTGCATCTTGGATCTGTATAATCCCCTTTCTTTCCTAGCCTATCAGGGCTCTGAGGTCATCAGTTCAGCCTGAGCAGATTGTAATAATGACTGAGACCAATGAAGTGAATAAGACTGACACCAGGCTAAGCTATTGAGATGTATATATTAAACAAAGAGTGTCAAAAATTTCTATCATGTATATAATGCATTCTTTTTAACGGATCTGAATGTTATTGATAAACATGGCCTAATGTTGTTTACTTATTTTCTGTTGGATTGCTTGTTAATGAATAAATGAGGTGTAAATGCTACACACATAGCAAGAAGAGTGCTTCGCTAGGGGATGAAATCCAAATTAAAACACCCTGGAAACACAGGAAAAAGAGCTAAAATACCTCATCGAAACGATTCAAACGGCGGCCTCTGCAATAGCCCACACAACCAGAGTAAACCAACATTTGCCTACATTTATCTAAATATCTTTTCCTTTCAGGATGTTTTAATTTGAAGGACACAAGCTGAATTAAAATCCTAATTAAAATTCCTTTGATCTTACCCACTTTCTCCTATTAAAGAAACTGATAGTATGGGCGGTTGCCATAAATGTTTTATTTCTTTCCATCCATGCAATCAGAGTGCAATTGGTTTAGAGTGCGGCTTTCTTTGGCTTTGTATTTATTTGTGGATGTACTGCAGGGTTTTTTTTCTTACCACCTTAGTTCCTGCAAACCAAATGATCTTTTCTGGGATATTAAGATGTTTGATTTTTTGAGGCTGAGCCTAAAAATAAGCCTTGCAGATGACTCAGGAGCAAACTGCAGCTCTAGGAGATTATTTGTTTCTGTGCCATTTTTGGATGACGTCGTGTTCTTTAGCACTTTAGCGTTAATGAATGACTCTCACTGATCAGAAGGGTAATCTCGTTCAAATCAGACTCTAAATGTTTTGGAAACATTTCAAACCACCAGTCTAGGTTTCACTCTCTCTCCATAGACTCTCTTGCCATAGACTATTAAGCTGAGCTGCCAGGTAGCGCGATTATGTCGTGGGTTACGTTAAATCAGAGAGACACCGAAATTGGCCTGTGGATGAGGTGTCTCCTTGAAAAAGAGTTCAGTTTGTGAAGCAGAAAAAGACTGCCTTGTCATCCATGTAGCTCCTGTATTCGTCTCTGTGCTTTTGTGCCTTGGGAGTCTGGCACTTACAGAGAAGCCTCTGTATGAGACTGATGCACAATGGGTCTGTTCAGTCGAGGCTGTGGTGCTTTGAGAATGTTGGACCAGAATACATAAAACAGGCAGTAGTAAATCCAAAGGGATCCATATACCTGGACTTGACTAAAGAATGCTTGTATAATCCATAATTACATGTGTGAAGTATGTATTAGAGCTCCACAGATATGTTAGTATGGGATTGTTATTGTGTTATGATATCAATCCGTGACCGGCACTGATAAAATACATTTTCACAGAAGAATATCCTCTTCCATCATTACTTATTTTCTTCATTAGAGACTATTGATCAGGTATCTTGCTCAAGGCTTTTCCCATTTATAATTAGCCTGTAACACCTCTTTACTGCCAATGAATATTCATCACTATTTCATTTTGCTAAAATAACCCACTCTTTATACTATCGCTTGTACTCACGTCTCTTCTCGTTGATGTGCAGCAGGCTAGCAGTGTGCCCTGACAAGCTGCCCTCCTCCTCTGCTAATGGGTGCTGAAACAGCTCCTTGGACAGGTCACCTGAGCTGGAGGGCTTCAGCAGCTTCTGGATGTCTTTATTGGGCTCTGTCATCCGATGAAAACCCAGAAAAGGAGATTGAGCATAAAAGAGAGAATTAAAAGGAAAGCTAAGGAATTTTAAGCCTCAGGTAAATATTAGGTATGCTTTATTGTTGCTAATCAAATGCAATTTAAGGCAACACAATAATGCAGAGAAGATGTTGAGTAATGAAATGAAACAAAGTACTCAGAAATTTTTCAGAACTGAAAGAACTTATTATTTGCTCCCATGTTTGCCATGTTTAGTGATAATCCTCCTTGTATAACCACTATTATGTGTTTTCCAAATCAGACACCAGCTGGCCATTAATCCCAAGCTACCTGCGTCACCTTATAACGCTCAAGCATCTCAGCTGCTTGTCTTTTTGTTATATAATGCAAAAAGTTCTTCACAACATCTATGCAGCCTACGCATCAGTGTCAGTTTAGTGTTTAATGGTACATGTCTGTCATACGCAGTTAGATGCATACATTTGTGTATAACCACATATACACCACTCTGTGTACCACCACAGTGTTATTTAAACCAAACAGTCACAATTTGATTAAAGTCAGTTTTTCAGCTTTAATTCAAGGAGTTTAACAAAATAATTAATTGCTTAGGAAATCAATGACTTTTATGCACAATCTTCCAACTGAAAGTAATTGGACAACTGAGTGAACTGGACAAGCAGTTTAATGAGGTCTGTTCCTTTATTATTTCATGACATATTAAGCTGATAGAATATATTGGACTGATTCCAATTGTTTTACTCGCACTTGTTAGGGTTGTTTTTTGTTTTTGGGATGGCGGATTGGCCAAATCAACAATCTGCTACATTGGAATAAGGAATAAGGAATAAGGAATGAACAGGTCAGTTCATCAACACCAAAAGGCCTGAACGATCAAAGAAGTGAAAGAGCACTAAATTGCACATTGATCGAATTATCTCCACCTTCACACCTTCACAACATTTAAGCAAGTTGAGAAAATGTCTACAAGAATCTGCACAGTCCTGGAAAAAATCCGTTGAAATGATTAACTTATATCGGAATGATGGAGAATATCGAGAAGGAAAGAAAGAGCTCGTGAGCTGAAGTATAACACATTATCTGCCAAGTATGGTGGAGGCAGTATTTATAGGCAGTATGGCATTTGCATCTATGGCTGAAGGCAGAGAATCCACAAACAAGGAACAGCTGAAGATGGCTACAGTAAAAGCCCAACACAGCATTTCAAGAAAAGAAAAACAGCATTTGGTGATGTCCATGGTCTACAGACTTCAAGTAGTCATTGATTGCAAAAAAATATTTATCCAGCTATTAAAATGAATATTCTCATATTTAACATTTCTCCAATGTTGCCATACTGTAGTTCAATATCCAAAAATGTGGAACTACGTATCTATAAGAATGGCTATAATTCCTAAGCAGTTAATGGAATACTTTTGTTAAACCTCTTGAATTAAAGCATGTGTGGTTCCTTTCAGTGAGATTGGTGTTGGCTTTTTACAGATCCCTAATTCATCGTTTCTGCTTTACAATATAGTCACTATTACAAAAGATAATGCATTCTAACAGCCCGGTCATGTTCCCAAAAACATCTCAAACATCTATTGAAAACAGTTCACAGAGGCCATTAACAAAATCTGAAAATAGTAGAGACTTAAAATAGCATTCTTCCACACTCAGAAGCATGCATAAAATCTAAATTGGTTAAACTTGATCAAGGTTAAATTTTCACCTGTTTGACAGAGCTGAAAGCACAATGCAGTATGTGAGGAGACTAAATGAGGTAAGCTGCACATTTAGTGACAGGAATAGAGAGCGTAACCAGTATTCCAGACACTGGTGGGAGTTTAAAATTATACAATAGTTTTATCAGATAAGTAAACTTTCTGATCACCACTGCTGTCATCTGGGTAAGCTCTTCCTTCAGATCGGTGCGCTACAGCATGTGCATATAATATTCTAAGTTGTAACCCAAAACATGTTTTGTGAAGTCACAGTGACCTTGAACACCTAAAAAATCAACTTCCCCGACATACTGCGTCGTCAGATTGCGACAGCTGATGTTGCCAAGGAGACATTAACCATACATTTGAAAGTAAGGGGAAAAAAGCTGAAAAGAAGAGTCATTTGTTTATGGCGCAACATGTAGCAATAACTTTGGCTGCATTTGATGATAACATGCAGAACAGATGCAACTGTGGGAGTACAGCAGCTTCCTGGTGGGCCTCACCAGATGGTCTGTACCATTTCTGCTTGCAGTATGTTCAGACTTTGGAATTTCTTATTTCAGATGAAAAAAAATGTTACAGCCAAGGTGAAAGCAGAACGTGATGGATTTTCATTGCAACCTAAGACGCAAAGTGTTTATCGCCAGCTATTGATTAATTTCCCCAGTGAGGAACCACACAAACTGAAACACTACACATTTACCCCTGTTGTTATAATGAAATGTTTGCTCAATATTTTGACTATAAACAGCTCTGGTTTCTATTTCCTTCAACGAACATTTGTTTCCATCCATCCATCCATAAGGAAATGTTGCCTTTTAGATAGAAGATACATGTAAGACACCAACAAATACATGTGTGTGTATGTATAGGCTTGCATTTAGCATTGTAGTTGAAAATGACTGTCTCCAAGGTGCAATATTAATCAGTAACAGCTGAAAAGGTCTTTATTGGAAGTCACAGTATTCTTTGCATATACAGTTAGGCACTTTGCACAGATGGTCTGATCTAGCCACCAACTGCTACAATGTCTGTGAAGAAGCCCGAGTAAATAATGACAATGTAAGTCAGTGCTGTTAAAAGACAGCCAGTCATACATGTGCCCTTTTTCAGGATGCCACTGACCCTGTCTTGAGCTGTCAGCCATGACTGTCTATGAATCAGCTAACCCGAGACATGCAGACAGATGGTGGGAGATGTAGAAACAGAGCGAGGGAGGTTGGTGGGATGGTGTACTGTACGACTGCCAAAAGTTGAATCAAATTCACAGCCTCGGTGTAATAAATCAGTTGCTGTTTGACTGTGTTGCACTGGCAGGAAAAGTTAACATGGTCTATGACCTTGCCAGGTCATTGTGCTTGCTAATTTCTCTCTGTCTTACATCCCATATATGCTCTACTCATATTTTACGCTACACCCGCAGTGGCAGATTTATATAAACATTACTCCCACGGGGAAGTGATTATACAGAGGATGATGAATATTTGGCTGAATTGAGAACACAGTTAACATGGTTTACAGTGTTTTTAATGCGGTTTCTTTTAACATTATTTCTCATCCTTATAGATAAGACAAAGGCCTTTTTTAATAAGCTGTTAGTGTTCTTAATTCAGAATCTCCCTTCATTCAAAGCAGTTGCTGTGTTTGCCACATGATGCCATCAAAAGGTCATGCTTTGTGACCCACTTCTGTGATACATCACAGTAATGATGTTCACTCTAATTCAATCACATCTTAATGGACAAATATGATCATTATTTGTAGTGGGCAGGTAGCTCTGGCAGATAGCATGAACATGCACTGCTGAGATAAAAACAGTGGTACAGGGATCAAGGCCAGGAAATGGCATTTTCCATTTAAAATGTAATTTCATTCAGTACTGCTGAAAATGCTCTTATAGCGACATACTTTTACTTAGTGGACCACAGTGGATAATAAATCAAACAATCAAGAAGTGATTGAAGTGTAAATTTTAAGCTTCAATTCAGTCTCAAAAGCAATCAACTGACTGAGAAAAAAAGTTTCATGGACAAGTGAGGCCTGTTCCTTTGCAATTCCATGACAAACAGATAAAATATAGGGAGGAGAAACCCCTTACAACATCTAGTCAAGCCAAGGACGCTCTTGAGGATGCAGGTGTATCATTGTCAAAGTCTACAATCAAGCGATGCCTTTATGAAAGCAACCACAGGGTTTATAACAAAGTTCAAACCACTGGTTACACTTAAGAACAGAGAGGTCAGATTCAGTTGTGTCAGAAATCAACAGATGAAACCAAGACTCACTTGAATCAGTATGATGTAAAAGCATGGAGAAGGAGAGAAACACCTCATGAACAGAAGTATAACACATCATCTGTCAAACATGGTGGATGTAGAGTTCTGGGAAAGGGCCACTGGTGTTTACTGCTGATAGAAGTAGCACAAAGTACCAGGATGAATTGTAAGGTGTACAGGGCTATACTTTCTGCTTAGATAAAAACAAAACACTCCAACACTTTTCCTGGCTGTAAAAGCAACCCAGGAGTTTTTCAAGACAAAGAAATATGATATTCTTCAATTCAGAATATCCTTATATATTCACACAACTGAGCACGTCTTTCAGTCCCTGAAAGCACAGACCCTCAAATAAGCAGCAGCTGCCGGTGGTAACAGTAAGGGTCTGGCAACATTGGTTCTAAACTTCAGGGAGTCAATTACTGCAAAAGATTTTCCTTCACTTTTTAAAAACAGTCCTTACATGTTATGTTAGTTTGTCCAACTACTTTTGAGCTTATTAAAATTGGGGACTATGACCCTCCAATAGAAAAAAAACAAAACAAAAAAATAATCCTCAATGGAATACCTTAATCAAATCCGTTCATTTCAAGCTGAAAGTCTCATCATGTTTGTTTGATTTAAAATCCATTGTGGTTGTGTACAGAGACAAAATTAACAAAATGATGTCATGTCCAAATATTTATATACCTGACGGTATATTATCAAATTACCATTTTTATATTCTAAAAGAATATTTTAACAAAGTTGCCTGAAAGAATCATCAGAAAGTATTATATGTATGATGAAACAAGGACTTTATAAAGTTCATTCATTAAGGACATAATGTATGAAAATAGGGCCCATGGACTTTCACAAAATCAGACACTAAGGAGAAACCAACTTCCAAAAACCTTTAATTACTTGTGGGACATACTAAAACCGAGCAATATACACTGACAGCTACAGACACATTATCGTATATTATGTGCAAAAATATTACGGCTCTAAATAGTAAAGCTTTCCTCGATTTCTCCAGGGTTCCACTATAAAAGCGATACTGAAATTTATAGAGCAACACTGCCTGTCGCTCTTCATACATTATGAGAAGTATTCTGTAGTTTTACATTTAGTAAAGTTAATTAGTCCCACGAGGAGACTTGATTTAGGACTTCATCCCATCACACCTGTGAACGTACTGGCACTGAAGCCCAACTCAGTGGGTCCACGCAGCGGAGGCTTCTCTGGATGGCCTTTACGCAAAGGCCATATGCCTCTACTATTGTTCTGTAATTTTCAATCAGAGCAGCTTCAGCATGGTTGACCTACAGTGAGCATTAACCTGTATAATTAAACAATAGATTAAACACGAAGCAGTGAACCCCCTACTGCTGGACGCCGGGGTGATGAGAATGAGCAGAAGGGTCACTCCTGTATATAAACCTCACGCACTATTTCAGTGATTAACTCTTTACAGCAGAAGAGTTGCTCACTCGTGAGATACAAGCATTAATCAGAGAGATCGGGCTCCGGGCATGTACCAAGTCCCCAACTGCACACGTCATGAATGTACGAGGAAACAGGACAGGCAGGTTTTCCACAGCACAAGTCAATCAGAACAGGAAAAAAAGACACTCGGCCGTGACCAACCCGCTATAGCACTGAAAAGAGCAAAAATAGAAAATGGCTCTTACCTGGGCTCCCCGCCCCTCCCTGTGCCTCCATGCAGCTCAGCGGAGAGTGTCCTGCGGTTCACCACACCAGCATCAGAGAGTGGGGGAGACAAATGGGAAGAAAGGGAGAGGCAAGGAGTGAGAGAGAGAGAAAGAGAGAGAGAGAGAGAGAGAGAGAGAGAGTGTGTGTCTCGTGTGGGTATATAATAGAGTAAGGGGTGGGTGGACACAGCAGACCTAAGCTTCCACCTGCCTGTCCCTCCTTCCTTTTTGTCCGCTGTTGTTCTAGATTTCCCAAACAGGTGATCTCGCCTTTTCCTCTGGCACAGTCCACGTGCCCCGATCTGCCATCAGCGCTGTCTGAGCGCTGCACCGCTTCACAGAGCGAGTCCAACACAGGGAGGGTGGTCTGGGAACAGCGACATCGCAGTGAATTTCCAAGCCACTTGCTTTAGTAAATGCAGCATTGTGAGGCTTGGCTGGGTATGTACAGAATAGACAGGGAGAGAGAGAGAGAGAGAGAGAGGGAGGGCTGAGCTGGCAGTGGGCCCAGACTGAGAGGGAGAGAAAGAGAGAGGGGGTATCAGGGAGGGTTATGGACCAGTGTAGTGGGGGACACGCTGCGAGTGTGAATGAGTGTGCAGGAGTGTGCAAATGCATTGATGTGACACAACAATTTGTGGATTGCAGGCACTTTGTTGAGCCAGATAATGTGCAGGTCAGACTTAAAGCAGAATACATTTTGTGTGTGATAGTCGACAGAAGTATGAATCCCATGCCTTCAAAAATAGTGTTTCTTCCTCTTGAGGCAAATAACCTGGTGGATGTCGCTCTCTAGTGGCAGGATATGATGTATTCAGGTGATCTGTTAGGTTTACCGTCCAGGTTTACATCACACAAAACCAGACTTTGAAATCAACAGCACAGGGGAAGCACAGCACACCTTCTCTTTAGAGGCTAGACTCTGGCATATTATTACTGTATTGAGGACACTTCAAACTTAACAACCACAGCAAACACGTTCAGACTGACTTTGCCCAATTAACAACACCTCCAACCACTCAAAACCATCCAGGTAACACAACCCTGTGTTTCCTGTTATTCCCATGTACTGCATCAAATTGAGGGAACTAATTATGTTAATGTGCATTTAAAAGGAACAATTCATATTCGTTAATATGTGCCTCTTATGAGTCTTGATATGTACACACTTGAACACTTAAAGAGAAGAAACTATCATGTGAACTTTATAATCAGTCGGTTATCTAAAGTCAGAATGTGAGCACTGGTATTTAAACATGTAACACAATAATTTGATCCTGAAATATTTGAAGTTAGAACTTTAATAGATTCAATAAAACTATTTTAAAATGTTTTTCTCACTGTTCTTAGATCATGGGTCACATTTGATATGATTAGCACTTTTACAATTCTTTCTTCTGCTCGTAAAGACATTATTGTAACAGGCTTTTAGAAATGGCTGCAAACTGATGTACCTAATGTTGCTTTAATGGAAGGTGTACAACTTATATAACCTGAATGCACGAAGAGGTTAATATTGTCAGTACTGTTTCTCCTTTACTAATAGTTCATAACTTGTAGTTTTAAACATTTCAAAAGCTTAACACTGATTATTTCTTATTCTGATTATTAAGTTTACATGGTATGAGGGCAGACTTTTTTTAGGGCCTTTATAACCTTAACTAAAGCATTATCAAAATAAGATTT